GTTACTCCCAGGCCATGCCCACAGTGACCCCTCTTCTTGGCACTCTTCACCTCCCATGCCACACCCAGGGATAAACCCACAAGTGGAGGAATCCAGTATGACATCCCGTGATCTCATCGCCTCCCAAAAGTCCAACCTGTGAGTGCATGAGTCTTCAGAGAGATTTGTACAAAAGCCTTAACAAGTATTTTTCTCCATTGAAATATGATTAATTCCAAATGTAGAAGCTGACAAAAACAAGTCTTGGTGCTCACTTTGGCAGCACATATACTGAAATTGGAACAATACAGAGAAGATTAGCATGGTCCCTGTGCAAGGATGACATGAAAATTCGTGAAGCATTACAAATTTTTTCTAATGTCATATCAATTACTGCTAAACATTTGTTTAAAAGAAAAAGAGAAAAGGTAATAAATGAAAACAAGAGACAAGAAAAAAATGTTATAGGACTGCCCTGCTACAATGTTGTGTATGGATAGATTTCTAAATTTCTGCGTAAAATTTTGTAATTGTCTATTTCTATTTTTTACTATTAATTTTTTATTTTTTCACATTCTGTAGGGATTTAAAGTTTAGCATATTAATGATTGATGGAAAATACCTGTTCTGTGTTATGTGTAAGGCATTTGATATTCAGACAGATACTGATGTTAAGCTTAACAGACTATGCTTTAGGGTAATAATATTAAGCTTCTCTTCTGGAGGGTTAACAACTTAAGTCTGCAGACCAAAAAAATTAGAGAAAAAAAGGGCTACAAGGACGGCCAATGTTGTGGCCCTAGCACTTCAAGATCAGTGAGGACTCAGGACATAAAAGACTCTGTACTGTAATATCAAATAGCTCAGTTGTGTCCCAAATTTTCTGATCAAGGAGATTATGGGGCCACAGAGGAAAGTGAGCAGTGATGTAGAGTGTGCCTAAGGAGAGTCACATGGAGAGAAAACATTCTCTCAGGCTTTCACAGAGAGCAAATTGGTCAAGCAATGGCCGGAACTCATCCACATGGCTGACACTGAAAAAAAATGCACAAACTGCTGTACAGGGTTTCAGGATAAATCCTGAGGGGATTTGACTGACCTTGTCAGATACAAAGGTTACATTTTTTGTTATACAGGTCTTGCTTTATCTTGGTCTTAACCATCCAGCAGAAAAGTATAAAAATGACATATAAAAAGTAAAACCATATTAATATGCTGAGCTGTAAAGGCTCAAGTCAGCAACTTCTGACATTGCCAGTCATGGGAATAACCCACTACTATGATGGAATACTGTACTATATTGGATTATTTTGCTGAATTCACACACCTACAATATTTGAATGGCAATGAAATACTCATCTCTAACAAAAGTAAACAAAAAAGGAGATATAAATGAAGGACCATTTTGTAGTGAAAAAACATATGTATCTGTATATATAAAATAGTTAGCTTTGATGTACAGCTACTTTCTCTTAGTTCAATGAGAAGAAAGTTTTGAACTAATAGTGATTAGACAAGACAGTATGTCTGCATCTTGTACTATGAATGACTGCTACAAAGACAACAATATACAATGTATTAATTATTGTAACTGTCCTACTAACCTGTTTTGAAACTGTCTCAATGCTATTTTTTTCTCCCAATAAAATTAATGTTAAAAAAAACAAAATAAAAACAGGTCTTGATCAAAGAGAAAATTGGTATTCTAGCACTAGGGGTATTCCTGAGTCAACTAGTCATTCAGATGAAGTTTGATTTATACACTTATATGACATATTTTTATTTGTTAGTCACAACCACATTTGATTGGGCATTATAATAGGGATGTGAATAATTTAATGCTAAGTATTAATATTTGGTTGCATGCAAGGATTATTATATTATTACTTTATGTATTTAGTATATAAGAAACGCAACTCAGACTCGCTGTGATCCTTCTGTTTTCAGCCTCCCCAGTATTGGGGTTAGAGGTATGCTCACCACACCTGGTCTCCTTAGCCAGCTTAGTGCACCCAGTGCAGGGCCAGTGAGGCGTATTGCATGCAAAAATTTTAAGATCTATGGCGTGCATTTATATTTAGGCCTCTGCATTGCATGGCACAATGTTCTTTTTTGTTTTTAGCTATAAAACATATCTCCATTTGTAATGTGCTTAGCAAATGAACATGAACTGCTTATACACAACAGTTTCATAGGTCAATAACATAAGTAAAAATTAGTTACCTTTTATTCAAAATAGACAGATGACTATAAATATTAGTCACATGGCTACTGTATTTTACAATACCATACTTAAATTAATTCATTTGAAATCTAATTTTTTTTTTAATTTTAAGGAAGGGTCTACAGGGTGTTCAGGGTCTTACTATTACATCTGACTCAGCGATCCCCCTGTTTACAGTCTCCCAAGAGCTGGGATTATAAGCACGTACCACCACATCCAGACTTAATTGCCATCTCAGCATGCCCCCAGGGGTGGGGCCCACACAACAGGCCAGGAGATTGAACTCCTGAACCCTGAGCCTGCTGCCAGTCACTTTAATCCACTGAGCTATTTTTCTGGCCCTCCCAGAAATCTAATTTGTTGTGTTGCATTAGAGAATTTTTATTGGATAAAATACTTTGAGACTAAAGATTCTTTCTATATTTATATGCAGTACATGAAATTCCAAAGACCAGCCAGATAGTTCGGCAGATTAAAGTGCCTGCTTTGGCAGAGCACAGCGGTCAGGGTTCAGTCCCCAGCATGCGTGCCAGCCCCCCCAACATTACCCCCCCCCCCGCGAGTGCTGAGACAGCGATTGAGCCTAGGTGTGGTGGCGCATTCTTGGGAGGCTGAAAACAGGAGAATCACTACAAGTCCAATCTACATAGTGAGACCCTGTACACTCTAAACTCTGTCCTAAATTTATTGAAAGAAAGAAAGAAAGAAAGAAAGAAAGAAAGAAAGAAAGAAGAAAAGAAAAGAAAAGAAAAGAAAAGAAAAGAAAAGAAAAGAAAAGAGAAAAGAGAATTGAATTTCCGGCTCAGCACCAGGAAACATTCAGCGTTTAAGATTATGTCATTATGATGAATAACGGTACATTCTTTAACATATCAATCCTTTTCCAAATGCAGCCATATTATTGTGCTTCCCAAAATAATTAATTGAACACCACTGCCTCTAAAGCACTCTTCACAATGAAACCGTAATTCATAGGGATCTATCTGGCAGTAACTCTTAAAACTTTTTGTTATCATGATGTCATTTTTCATCATTCCTCAATTTCTTCATCTTATATTTATCATGGCATACATTTATTTTATTGATTCAGTTAACCAATATTTATTGATCCCTTGCTATAAACCGGGATATATTACTGGGATTTACCATATTTTTAGGATACTTTATAGGGCACACCAAGTTCTTTACTTCTGGGAAATTACAAACAAGCCTTCTTTCTTTTATTTTCAAAATAAATTCCATAAAGAAGAAGGGCTGGCCAAATAGCTCAGTGGATTAAAGCACCTGCTTAGGTAGAGGCAGAGGCCTGGAATTCAATCCCCAGTCATGCCATGCCAACCCTGCCCCCAGGTCATACTGAGACTCGGTGTGGTTGTGCATGCCTGTAATCCCAGCACTTGGGAGGCTGTAAACAGGTGGATCACTACTAGTCCAATCTATGCAGTGACACCATGTACACCTTGTACATCCTGTCCAAAATACAAATAAAGGGGCTGGAGAGATGGCTCAGTGGTCTAAAGCACCTTCTTGGAACAAGCTAAGCTAAGCAAAGCACAGGGACCACGGTTCGATCCCCCAGCCCCACATGCCAGCCAGCCGCGCCACCTGGTGGGCTGAGCTGGCCACACACACACACACACACACACACACACACACACGCAATGAAAGTTAAAAAAAATTTAAAAAAAAACAAAATACAAATAAATAAAGTCCATTAATGCATTTAAGTAGGAGCCAAGGGCTAAAGAATCTTTGCAGTAGCCTTTGAGGCAAACAGAAAGTTAGCAAAGTTTAGAATTTTGAACTATATAATATCCAGGAATAAATGATGTACATTTATTTTGCTTATCTGTGCAATGTCATAAATTCTACAGAAGGCAGTAATGATCACCTAAATTGAGTAAGCACTGAGTTTGCCCATGACTGCAATTTGTTTTGAAATACATTCTAAATTATTTTGGCAGTGCATAAGTATCTAGGAAGTCAGCATGAGTGTGCCTTAGACACCTCATGTCACAAAGGTGAAACTGAGTCACTTTTTGCTTAAAAGAATAAATACCCAGCTACATTCTCCGAAGGAGCAAAGAGTGAGCACCATTGGGAAAAGACTCCAGTTGGCTTTTACTTTTAGTTTTCCATTGTATAATATAAGGACTTAACCCTCATCTTAGAGAATGCAGGCAGTGAGAAGTCATAGAATGAGTGTGTGAGCTAATGATTAACTAGAGTGAAGAGAAAGGAGAAGAGGAAGCAAAAAACAATTCACAAGTGTTATGTGCATGCACCAACTTTCCATGATAAATGTAGTATTATGTACTGCAAACCTGTAATAATAAATGTTTTTAATCATTCATTTATGTGATTATTTATATGTTTATTGGTACAGAGCCTCACTATGCAGCTGGGACTTGTAGTGATCCTCCTGTCTCAGCCTTCCCAGTGCTGGCATTACAGGCCTGTATCTCTGGCAGCTCAGCGCACCCTGGGTGTGGGGCTGGCAGGGCCTGTGGTGCCAGGGATTCAACTCAGGTCCTTGTGCTTGCCAGGCAGGCATTTAGACCACCCAGCTATCTCTCCAGCCCAATAATAAAAACTTTTTAACAGAATAATGAACTTCTTTTTTCACACACAAAGCAGAAAGAGGTAGTGTGTTGCAGTGTATATCAGGGTCACCAAGGAATGTAACAACACTTTCTGAAATCTGTAGGTGTAGAGATTTATCCTCTACTGCTAAAAAGTCATGCTTCTTTTCACTTACTTTTCTCCCTGCTTTGTTTTTTTTTTTTTTTCTTTGCAGAACGATTCAATGTTTATCTCATGCCTACACCAAATCTGGATATTTATGGTGAATGCACAATGCAGATCACTCATGAGAATATCTATCTCTGGGATATCCACAACGCCAAGGTCAAGCTGGTGATGTGGCCTCTCAGCTCCCTGAGGAGATACGGCCGAGACTCTACATGGTTCACCTTTGAGTCCGGAAGGTAAGGTCCAATGCATGGACAGTCCTCCTGAGGTGTGGAACACACTCCAGACAGGAAAATCTTGTTCTAAGTGCTAGTGATGCCCTTTATCTTTATAAAGGTGACAAGTTAGTACCTACAATTTTCTTCAGAATCTTATTGATAATATGAAAGAAAAATGTACTAGTTATGGGACAGATTAGTCACCTCATTCAAAATAAATTTTAGTCTGGTAAAATAACATCAAATATTTTAGTAATATAGTGTATCTTAAAGTAGTATTTATAATAGTGGTTTTTGCTATAAGCTCATACAAGAAGATTCCACTGAAATTAAATATGTCTTTGCTTGCATTATTTTTGTGGTTACATATATGTAAGCAATATTAAAAAAGTGTTTTATAAAATTAAGTTTTATTTTTTAAGTTTGTAGTAAGTTATGCCAGTCATTCATCCAGATGTTCATGTTAATGACATCAGTAATTAAGTATAATACCAATTTAGAATGAAGTAGTATTGGCACATCCATAACTTATGAAATGTGTAACTGAGATTTTAAACCTAGAATGTCAAGGCAAATATGTTAGTTTCACCATCACACTATATGGTTAGAATCTATAAATGTTTCAAATGAATGCTTGATTCGCAACCATTATTCATAGGTGCAGATTTAAATATGTGCTACAACTGACAAAATCAATGTTTCTTTTTGTTATCACTCCTCTGTGATAGTATGGCACCCAAGATAAGACAGAATTTTGGATTCCATACAAGAAAAGTACCTTTAATGCATGTTTTCCCACATAGTGGATGTGATTGTTACATTGTAAAAATGAATCCATACTCCTAGAAAGTGGTTGTTAGTGAAGTTTCACTGCATCTGATATAGCAAATTTGAGTCCTAAATTTCTTTAAAGAAAAAAACTTTTAAATATTTTTCCAACGTTACAGTCTAATATTGTCCATTTAGGATACATCATGTATCTTTTAAAATTTTAAGGAAGAAAAATTTGAGGTAAAGTAATTTTAGCAGTCTGTGTACTTTTACACCAAGGAAATATTAAATGTATTAAATTCTAAAAAAAAAAATGTATTAAATTCTCCACCCTCCTGATTCTTCTAAAGAGTTTTATGTCTTTTGTTTACTTAGTAACTAGAAGGTATTTCAAACCAATTATCTATTTTTGCCCACTTAAATACTGAAATTAATCATAACATTTTACAGATAGCTGTTGAGAAATAAAAATTCTAATAGCAAAATTAATATTTTTAGATATGTACACTATTTAAAAATTTTATTCTTATGAAAAAGATTATATTTTTATAGTCATCCACTTAAAATCTATGATATATTGTATTTTTATTGGCCTTAAAAATAGATAGATAGATAGATAGATAGATAGATAGATAGATAGATAGATAGATAGACAGATAGATATGATTTTGCCCATTGGCTTATTCCCTTTGGTCTTTTGACAAAGGGTCTCACTATATAGTTTAGCCTGGACTTGAACTCATTATAAACTCATTATATAGCCCAAGCTGGCCTTGAACTCAGGGTGATCCTCCTGCCTCAGATTTAGGAGTGACGGGATTACAGGCTTGGGTCCCTACACCAGCTGATGCTTATTTACTTTTTCCCCTGCACTCTGTAGCACTGCTTCCAGGTTCTCCTCCCCCTGTCTTTCTCCTGCATATGCCTAGCTTCCTTTTCCTATGTAGATCAATTTAACTCTTGTCTGCTTTGCCATTAGAAGAAGCTTCTTACTCACAGTTTTAAATAACAAGCAGTTCATCTTTTCTCTTGGTGATTCAGAATTTTCAACCCATATATACCTCTTTGCATTAGGCTTAGATAATTTCATTTTCTATTTTCTTTCTGTGTTTTATTTTTATGTTTTTGATAGTTTCTTATCCCTTCAAAGTCTTTAAGGGGAGTGAACTTGCTCATCACAAGATTTAAATTGCTCTTCTCCACCCAAGTTCCAGTCTATGTGGTGCCCATCTTGCCTTGTCCCACACCATGCATTGGCCTTCTGTGACTGTGATGATTTGTAATATCTTTAAAGCATATGAGAAGACACAAGAATAGTAAAATAAATAAAAGTCATAATCTTCAAAAATTCATATTGGTTTGAATTTTTTTGTTCATTCTTGTTTGTTAGAATAGCATTTTAATTTATTTACTATTTTTGGTCCAAGAATCCAAGTCAGGACCTTCCACTTGCCAGGCAGGCACCATGCCACTGAGCTAAATCCCCAGCCCCAGAATAGCTTTATTAAGTTAGCATTTTAATATCTAAAAATCATCTTGATGGTCACATTCTTATGCACTCAGGGAATTAGAGAAAGTTAAATTTAGATCACTGGTCTGCCAGTTAACAATTTAACTTAGATTCAGGACCCCCCTGTGGTTGCATTTTCTCCTTTGTATTAGGAGAATGATAATTTCTATTTTCTAGCTATGCTTAAAGAGGTAGAATGAATTACTGTGAGTAAAGCTGCGATGCCCCCGTGTCACATCATGGACATTCAGATCTGACTACTTGCTTATGCAGTGTGCCTGCTCCTAGCTTCTGAGTGAAGCTTCTATCTCAGTCTTCCAGCTCTCACTGTGCACAGTTCTGCTAAAGTCAATCTGTAGCTAAAATTATAAGAAATGTGGGCCAAAGTAAGCCAAGCACAGAACTTGGGAGCCTTGCCTTTAGAAGCTTACAAGATAATTATGAAATCTGCTTTAGAAATAGAAATCAGTGCTACTTGCCACGAGTCAAGAATTTGTGGTGAGACTGGTGCAGTAAGATTTGAGGGAGCAAAAAGAAGGGAAATAGGGAGCAAGTGTATTGTTTTCCAGCTGGCGCTGGAAGGAAAACTATGGATTAGCACTATAGATGTCTATTTTGTTAAAAGTCAGTAGGATATAAGGACTCTGTTTACAAGGTGTAAGTCTTTGGAATGAGTTTATGGGTCTGTGATACTGTCCTTGTGAAAATCATATCATAGAGCAATGAAAATCAAAATTCTATGCAAACACTAAACAAATTCCTTTGATAAATTTAAGAAGAGCATAATTGCAACACATAGAAGCATATGCAAAAATCAATTTTGTTTTATATGAAATAAAATTTTACTTTTAATTAAAAGTAAAAATATTAAACATTTCTCATAGTGGCATCAAAATGAAGGAAGTATAAGTAAGTTTAACACAATACGTGTGAAGTTATATGTTAAAAACTGTAAAACATAGCTTAGCGCAATTTAGAAATCAATGAATAGTATGTACATGTTCTTTCAGTCCAAGAACTGAAAGAGTCAAATAGTTCAGAGGATTAAAGCATGTGCTTAGGCAGATGCAGGGACCGGGGTTCGATCCCAGTTGTACCTGCTGGTCCTGCCCCCGGGGTGCACTGAGACAACAATTGAGATGAGGCGTGGTGGTACATGTCTGTAATCCCAGCACTTAGGAGGCTGAAAACAGAAGGATTCACTATAAGTCTGATCTATGTAGTGAGACCCTGTATTAAATACATAAAAAAATTGAAAGGAGTCTATATGTTAAGGTAATGTTCTCCTGATTAACATAGAAATTTCATGTAATCCAAATAAAAAAATCTTTCCTGGTTCTTCTAAGGGATATCATAGGTTGATTCCAAAATGTATTTGGAATTACAAGAGGCCTAGAATAGCTAAAAAAGTTTTATAAAGATCATAATTAAAGGATTTTAGCTGCCTGATTTTAAGATGTATGGCAAACCTAAATAAATAACATACTATACTATTAACATAAAGATCAATGGAAAAGAATGAACAATTCATATATATATATATATATATATATATATATATATATATATGAAGTGTGATCAGAATACAGAGTCCATGTTTGACTTTTTAAAATGTGTTACAGTAAAAGACAGATTGCCATAAATCTCTCTCAGGACACCCCCCCCTCACTTTTACTGCACTTATTTGACTGTTCTTGCTACATTCTGAAGCAGTTTCTGGAAGTTATTTGAAAACAATTTTGTTTTTGTGAATATCTTTACAAAGTGTGATCAAAACTGCAGTAAATGGTGCTGCCCTATGCTATCCAATAAAAAAACAAGCTTGTGAAACATGACTGTGTCCTCCTTGAGCTTGGGAAACATGACAGTGTGTCCTCCTTGACCTTGGGAAACATGACAGTGTGTCCTCCTTGACCTTGGGAAACATGACAGGGTGTCCTCATTGACCTTGGGAAACATGATGGTGTGTCTTCATTGGCCTTATCCATCAGGCCTGGCATTGAGCAACTTCTAGCTCTTCCCAAAGTCAAAATGACCATGAAAGGTAGGTGTTTGAAAGAGAATCAGGACCAGAAGCAGCCACAGCAATGCAACTAAAGATGCCCAAGAAAGAGAATTTCCAGAACTGCTTCAGAAACTTTCAAGAACAATGGGATAAATGTGTTCAGGAGTATTTTTGACACAGTAAAAACAATGCTATTATTTGCTATAATAGTTTTTTATTTAAATATTCACCACATCTTTGATCGCATGTATGTATCTAATCAATTGCTTTAAGTTGAAAATGTGCATTTGTTTGTAAAGATATGATTAAGTAATTGCATGTGGAATGGAAACAAATGGTGTTGGAAGAACTGGAAAGAATCTTTACTATGTGGGCTGAACTGTATCATTGCAAAATTATATTGAAGTTTTCCACCCCAACATTGTAACAGTTGGAGACCAAGCACGTAGGAGATAATTAGAGCTAGGTGAGGGCACGAACACAGTGACCTTAGGATGAAATCAGTGGCCTTTTAACCAGGGACACCAGAGAACTGGCTCTCTCCCATTTCCCACCATGTGAACACCTAGGAAGGAGATGGCCACCTACAAGCCATGAAGACGTCCACCAGGAACTGGGAGACAGGGAAGTTCTCCTTAAGTCGCTCAATCTATTATACTTTTATGGCAGCCAAAACTGACTACACCCACTCATCATATCCAGTAATAAACTAAAATTGGTCATAGAACGAAA